TGGCATTTTGGCTCCACCTCTTTTACTTCAGTCCCACCTACCACTGTGACGTGTCCCCCAAAAGCTTCTCAGGCTAAAATAATCCCCCCTAAACCCTGCTCTAAGGGCCCCCAAAGAATACTGATCTAAAAGGTCCCCAAAGGGGTGGAATTCAGTTTTGGAGAAAGCTCTGTGGAGGCTGCATTTCTGGGGTGGGTGAGTCCAAAGAAAAAGCAGCAAGGTCCACAGTACCCAAAATGCTAACATTTCGTTTGCTTCACCCACCTGTCGCCGGGAAGCAAGCCTTTGGAGAGGCACGGTACCCTTTCAGAATAGGGGATGGGCTGCACAGAAGCCGGAAACCACCCCATGATCAGTGATTGGGGAATGTGGGAAACCCTGTACAGCCAGGTTTGGTCCCAGGTCCAAAGCTTCGCCACCTCCATTTTCGCACACAAGCTGTGTGATGCCAGAAAAGTTCCTGAAAAAAGGAAAACCTGAGGAATCGTGCCATATTATGCAAATTGGACCTGCTCCTCTACCCGCCCCCCTCCAGCCTCTACAGAAAGAAAGCCCTGTATTTAAGGCATTGTGAAAATCAGGGCTAATTCGTCCAACAGTGGCATCCTGGAAGATGGATGGATGGAGAGATTGAGGAGGGGGCTGGTGGGCGGGCGGGTCGGTCACGTTCTGTTTTCCTCGCCTCCTTCTCCCTGGCTCAGTCCTTGCATCTTACCCTCTGCGGTTATATTATTCCTTGCAGATAGCAATCAACTGGAAGGAAGTGTGTGTCTAATTTGCATGAGATTATTTAAAACAAAAAAAAAGAGGTCTGCATTAGTCAGGGTGATGGTAAACAACAGAGAGGGGGAGAGAGAGAGAGAGAGGGATGCCTTCTTATAATATAGCCACGGCTTGGCTTTCAAGGCCAAATATAATTCACTTACAATCGGCAGCTCTCTTTATTTTTCCTTTTAACCTTTTGGATTCTGCCTGTCTTGATCTTCTCCAGGAGATCAGAACTGTTTGCTTCTCAGAAATAGCGTCTTTGTGCTGGAATGGGGAGAGGCAGATCTTCAGGACTGCAACTCTTCAGGGCTGGCCGTTTCCCCATTGCTGCGCTGTCCAAGAAATGCAGGGTTTGGCCAAACTGAAAGCCCCTCCTGGTCAGCTTCAGCCCATGCCTTTTGTGGGCAGAAATTGTTTCTTAAAGGACAGAACAAAGCAGCAAGACTTCAGGTTGCACAGGACTCTTCTTTCAACAGGCCATGCTCTGCTACAGGATGCTAAGGATGGATTTCATTTCAGAGATGCCTTAGGGCCAGGGGCCAAAGGGGAAAACGGCCATGGTCAAAGTAGGAACCTGTTTCAGGCTAAAGCGCTTGGCCCTAAGCCTTAGGAGAGGCATTCCGCCTTTTAGGATGGGGCAAATCTGCAAAGGCATTCAGGGAATGGCGTTCAGGTTATTCGGCCCACAGAAAGGTCCTGTACCCCGACTGCAGAGCCCTTTCCCCCATCTCCAGCTCCAATGAAAACGGGCAAGATCTAACCCCATTGTCACGGGTTACTATGACCAGTTTATTTACAAGAAAACAATTTTTGGTTTATTTTATCCCAACCGAACAGGATGTGAATAGATCTGGGAGGAGTGTAGATTAACAATGAAGGTTATTTCCTGTGCTTTCCAGATTGGAGACCTCAAGAACAAAGGACTTCTCTGTAGTTTGCTTTAGTGATAATATTTATCGCATCTGCTCATTTTGAATGGACTGACGCAGGCTGGGATTTTCAGAGAAATGGGCAGCCTCATTTGATCAGGACCTGTTTGGCTTCCCTTCCCCAGTCACACTACTTCACAATGAATGCATTGAAAAATCGATGGATAAATAAATAAATTTGGTTCCCAGTAGCAATGCACAAACTCTCTTTGGCCTAATGGATGCTGAACTCCACCAACCAAAGTATTTTCCAAAACGCAGAGAAAAGCTTTGTTTGTTTCAAGGCATTTTTGAAATACGGATTGCATCAAGCTTCAGTAATTTGCCAGAGTCTAATGCTTCCATGGTCCCCCATCAGCTGCCCAAGTTCTGTGCTGAGTTACCTGGCAGCAGGCATGGGGCATTTTGATGACTCCAGAATCTTGGACATCCAGAACCCAGGGAAAACAATTCCCAGGGGATGCCTGAGTCCTGACTTCCTACCAGTCAAGGTGCCTTGGGAACTATATTCTCCAATCCACCTGCATTGATGCCATTTTAAGATGCCAGTTAGGTGCATAGATGCTCAGTGAACAGCAGGCCAGAGAAGATCTTTTCAACAGAGTGATGCTGAAGTCAAACAATCTCCCTTTCTAAGTCAGATGTACCTGTGAGCATCACCTATATCACAACTTCCTGGTAAAGAAATACTGGGTTTCATCTGCACCGAATTCTTCCCTTCGCACCATGTCGTATATTGTTCAGCAACAAACCTGGATATAAAGAGATAAAACAGAGTTTCTCTCTTGCCTCAAAACTTGGGGAAACTGCTTTAGGAGGCAGTCTCATCTGTTGTTCAGGTTATCCTGAGGCGATCATGGTTGACTACCTGCAGCGTAATCCTGGTTGGAGAAAGGGGGTTTAACCCAACCCCTGAGAGCAGCTGGGTGACCCCACATCCACCCCACCCTAGACATGGGTTGGTACTACTTTTGCTTAGACTTTACAGTGCATCTCCAAAGCGGTCTGTCTATATGTCTCTTTCCCTCACTTGTCTTTAGGACCAAGATCTTCCAGGCACTGTGGAAGAAAGTTCAATATCTGTACCGGCGTTTAGTGACACGTGTGTGTGTGTGTGTGTGATGCTTTCATGACCTGATGCTGAGCAAAAGTCTTTTCTATGTAATGTTCTGTTTCTGCCATTCATGCAAAAATGGCTGCTACTCTTCTTTTAAAGTTAGGTGCCTTGCACCAGGGCACGTCTTCATCACACCACTGTGTGACCTGCCCCTGGCAGGCAACAGGATTTCATCCGGACTGCTTCTGGTGCCTTTTAATGGGCAAGGCCAGGCATCGTGCCAGGGACCTCCCGCCTACCCAGAGCCCAGGAGCCCTCCTCTGCCTCTTCCGTTTGATCCCAGCAACTTCTTTTTAAGTTGCTGAAGCTAAAATGTTTAAACATGCCTCCTTTTTCTCTCTCCTCTTCCTGTTCATAGCGAGCGCTTTCTCGGGAAAAGCGAACCAGCTGCACCACTTCCGTTGCAGAAGCTGGTCAGCAGCTGGCTTTCTCTCTTTTCTCCTCTCACTGGCCAAATCCTTTCCATATGTCACCGCCGCAGCAGATGGGGAGGTCCCGGCATTTCTCTGGCACGTCAGGCAGCCTTGCAGAGTGCTGGATAAAGCCCAGCTAGCCAAATAATGACGACTCCGTTTCTGAAAGTTTTGGCATGGCCTTCGCCTGCTCTGCTCTGTTTTCGGGTTTTTTCTTCTCCTGATGTTCTGCGTCCCATTCATGCTAATCACAGTCAGACCTGGGTTTCCCCCCTTCTCCTCTCCCCCTTTTTTTATTTCCGCATTTGTCATAAAATAAAGCAAATTATTCCCATCTTCAGAAACGATCTAGACTAATTAGTCGTCTAACCCAATAATTAGCTTTTTGTTTCCCTGTCTGTTTTCCTACATTATTGTTAGTTTTCTTCCCACTCTTGAGTTGTTTTTTTTAACACCATTACAGATTAAAATGAGCCACATTTGCTGTTGATGGGATATGTTTCTTTCCCCCCATTTTTTTTCGGGGGAAGAATGGGGAGAATTGCAATAGAAAAGCTACTTCAAAAGCAGCAATAAACTCAAAGATAAATTAAGGAAATTGAATGAGCCACATTTGAAAAGTGGCAGTGAGCGCTAATATGCCATCGCTTAAGGTTAAATTGCAGCGCGGAGGGGAGCGCTTCCACCCACCCCAGCAGATCCAAAATTTGAGAGGAGGCATTCGTTTCCCAAAAGATGTGCATGGAAGCTTCCAGGCAGCTTTCCTGGGGGTTGTGGGTAGTTCACTGAAATTTTTTTTGGGGGGGGGGGGGGGCTTCCAGGTGAGAGTTTTTGGCATGCTGATACTTTGTTCATGGGATTTTGGGGAGCAAGACTTCCACTCAGAACCCCCACCCCATGTTTTCTTATTACTTCTTCTGACTTACTCCCCTTTCACTGCAAAAGAAGAAAAGACAGACCTGAGGGACAATTTCGTTTGGGCCAGTAGTCTCCCCACTACTGCGAAATGCCCTAGATCATGAGAAATCGTTGTTCTAGTTCAGGTGGCCCTAACCCTTTTGGGTTGGTGGGCAAGGTCAGAATTTGGAGAGAGAATCTCATGGGCGCTCTCACAAAATGACCGCCCCAGAAGGGAACCTGGTCCATTCATGAAGTAGCTACCACAACGGGTCAGAAGACAGGTGGGCAGGGCTAATGAATGGTGACGTGCCCTCTACCAAATCCCAAGGCGGAGATTGCGACAGAGCTCTAAACATGAAATGGTCTCCTTGAATCCAAACAGTGCTTCTCAGCTACTTTTCTTTTTTTTAACCTTAAGAAATAAAAGGCAGAAGGGCCAGGTGCACCCGGCAGATCCCCAGGAAGGTGTCAGTGCATGCACGGTTCCCAGTCCTCTTTTCCCTGCTTGCAAGCTGCTTCTGGAGAATGGTCACCTGTCCTGGATGCTGCCTTTCATGGAGGGCATGGGCAAACAGCACAGCCAGAGCAGGGAGGCCAAAATGGTAAGGAACTCTGGAAAACAAATCTTCAGAGCCGGTTGAAAGAGCTGGCATGTTTAGTCTGGAGAAGAGGAAACTGAGTGAATGAGCTCAGGGTAAAGGAAGATACGGTCTGCAGGTTTACAGACTAAAAGTCTCAACACACAAGATAAAAGGGACTAGGAAGGCAGAGGAAAATGAGGTAGCCTTTCAGCAGGACTGGTGGAACGGGCCTGTTCTCCCCTCAGTAAGCAAATGTGGGCAAAATGAATCTCATCTCCTCTTCTCCCTCCAGGACTGACAGATGAAGAAGTTGACCTGGCACTTCAGCAGTCGGGCACCGCCAAAGAGGAGACCCAGCCCTTAGGTCTTTCTACACACTTGGTGCCAGCACCACCCCCTCACCTTGCACCGTACAGTAAGTAACTTTTTGGAAATTGCCATGACTTTTGGGAAAGGGGGCAGCCCTGCTCCTCTTCCTCGGGGGTGCAAAACATGCAGCCTTCTTGTAGGTTAGATTGGTTTTATTTTTTCTCCTAAAGAGTTATCTCATAGCTGTGGAAATACTTGATAATCAAATGGCAAAATCCCAAAGGTTTAGAGCTACAAAGAGGCCAGAAATGTCTGAATTTGAGGGACTGTCTGGATTCTTCAATTTTGGAACTCTGAGATTTTTAAAGTACTTTTATTATTTCTAAGTGGCAGCTTCCCCAGTAAATAAATACTACACTATTTATGTAGGGATGTAATGAATGGGGCTTTTTGGAAGACTTTCATTCATAGGATGAGTATAAGTCGGAAACAACTTGGCAGCACATCGCAACAACAACTCTATTCATTATGTTGTCAGCGCAAATATATATTTCTTTCTATCCTGATATGCTCACAATGGCCCAGTTCAGATGATTGTCATGATTTATGTTATTGAGAACAAGCTGCAAGGAACTTTGTGTTCCTCTTATCAGAAAACGTTTAAACAAACCAATTTCAAAGCCGCTTTCAGAACCTGGATTGTTCACTGATTTCAGTTAGAACAAACCACAGTTCCTCTGGTTTGGATGCAATGCAGAACTGTGGTTTCCTGGTGAGGTTTTATTTATTCATTTGTACTATATCTATACTGCTACATATTTTTTTAAAAATCCCCAGGCAGTTTCCATATAAATATATAAATCACAAATAGATGTAGATACGAAGGGGAAAAGAGCACATGAACTGTAAATTGTCCAAATGAAATGATTTTGGTCCATATAAGGATAGAAATGGCTTGCTTGAATCAATGACTTAAAAAAAGTTTCGAAAAAAATCTTACTGTGTTCCCAAGCACACAGGCCAGTGGCCAGGAGTTTCGCTCTGTTTTTTCCTGCTGAGGGCTATATCCTTCAGTGTCCTTTTGCTGGAGTCCGAGGTAGAACCCAGGCCCACTTCCTCCCTTTCTGACATCCTCTTCTTTCTCCTTCACCCCTTCTTCCCTCTCTGCCCCACCCGGCGGGCTGCCAACGGAAGGGCAGACTGATCTCCAGAGAGGTCGCTTTGGAAAGCAGGGCTTTTCCTCCCTGGGTCAGGGCAGCCCACAGCCTCAGGAAACGGGCTGTCTACCCCTTAGAAGAACCGTGGCTTCTGTGGTCATCCAAGCAAGTCCGTTTGCTGTTCTAGTGTATGTGCAAGAGAACCCATCTTTCTTGCAAGCCCTCTGGGACTCTAGATCCATTTCCTCACTGATACTTTTCCATCATTGTCTCCATTTCAAGTAAGCTCCTAGGAACATGAGAGCCCCTTAGCAATATTTTTAAATAAGGAGGGAGGCTGGTAGTATCATAACAGGATTTTTTCCCAGCTCTACCTAGAAATGCTGGAGATACTCCAGGGGACCTTCTGCATGCCAAGCTCTCGCAGAGCTACAGTCCTTCTGTCTTGCTGTCTTCATCAGCCACCCCTTTTTTTAATTGTTGGAATTGCTGTTGATTTCCAGTGCCAAGCTAATACAATCTTAGTTGCTAATAAAAGATTTAATGCGAGTAATCTACTAGCACCTATCAGTCCCAATAAAGACGTTGCGGAGTCAACTACAACTCTGCAACTGCTCATTGTTTAGTAACTGTGCCCATCTTTGCTCATGAAGATGACAAGCAAATTAATTAATCACATGCAACGACTCCAACGTGCAATTAAGCCACGGCCCTTTGGATCAAGATGTAACTGTGGTGATGCTTTTCCAACTGGCTTCAGAGGTTATCCTGAAGTGAAGAGAGAGTACAGCGCGTGAATTAATGTACACCGGATTCAAATGTACGGCAGATTTCAGAAAATGCCCCCTGGGATTATAAGTGGAACAAATCAGATGGTTTAAATATATAAAGAGCGAGAGGAAGGGTGTGTGTGGGGGTGGGGGGGGGAGAGAAACCGATTCCTTGCATATGGAAAGCTAACATGTTAAGGCAAGCATAGGAAATTTCTTTCAGCCTGATGGCTAGATTTGATTTCAGAAAAGCTCTTGGAGGCTTGTTCCAAGGCTGGGAGAGCCAGAAGTAAAGGAGGCAGAAAAATGTCAGCTGGGTGCACTTCTAGCTAGGAACCAAGCCTTGCGGGGGGCCATTTTTACTTTTAGAATAAGACACAAACACCCTGCCCAAAAAAAAAAAAAAAACCTGGAAAAAAGCCAGGGAAATCACCGAATGGGTTGTGGGAAAGGGGTGGCACCAGGGAAAGTGTGATTCTCTGGTGACTGCCACAGTGTGGGATTTAGACCACAGGAAGGGTGGACTTGCCCCCCACTGCCCCCTGGTGCGGCTGGGTATTCCCTGCCCATCTGTCTGGGAAGGGGCTTGGTTAAAGTTATACAGAAGGCTTAGCTTTGCGTAAGCGGGAAGTTCTGGTTTCAGTCTTAAGCAGTCCAGTCCAGGAACTGGTATCCCGCCCTCCCCACTCCGCTCTCTGCATCATTGAATGCCAGTGTGGTGTAGTGGTTGAGAGCACGGGTGTGGGACTCGGGGGATCCGGGTTCGAGTTCCCGCTCAGCCTTGGAGCCAACTGGGTGACGTTGGGCTAGTCCCAGACTCTCACCCCAGCCTCCCTCACAAGGTTGTTGTTGTGGGGATAAGATGGAGAGCAGCAGGAGGAGAATGATGTAAGCTGTTTGGGTGTTTAAAAAAAAATAAAAAGTGGGGTATAAATCTAATAAATAAATCAGGCCAGTTACTCCCTTCCTGGGTAGAGAATTCCTCGGACTTAACCTGGCCTTGGAGTAAACGCCTATTGCCAACTGAGTCACATAGCCAGAGGCTTATGGGTTTTGGTGTCAGAGTCAACCCCTCTTGCCAGACTGCAGTGGTGTGGGGGAAAGGGAGCCCTTCTGTATCTAGAGTGGGTTTTGCTCCAACTCAAGAGTCCCAACCATGGCAAAAGGTCTCCGTGCTGGAAGGACTTTGCCCTTCTCTAAACATGCACAAGATTATACCCTAAGCCCCATTTTTCACTTCAGTTTTGCAATCCTTCCTTTTGATTTGGCTGTGTAGCCGAAGGAGAAAGCCAGTCGCCACTCCCCTGTTTCCCTGAGTGTGCCGGTGTGCACCCTGCGTACCTGCAAATCGTGGCCCGGCATGTCTGTCCTTTTGCCAAGAGCCGTCAAAATCGCTCCTTAAAAAAGAAGCGGGGGGGGGGGGGGGGGGGGAGACCCACCTCCACCACGAACCTCTGACTGCTTGATTTTGATTAATATAGAGAAACAAGACTTGGGTTTGACTGATAATAAAACTGATAAATGACATCTGAATTACTTGTAGCGGTAATTTATTACATAAAATATCTTTTATTTGACATGCGATTAGTTGCTGGAAGCATCACTCAATCTGACTTGTTTAAACATGTTCCCAAACTGAACCCCGCAACTTGGAGGAGTGAGAAAGGAAGAAAAGGGAGAGAGAAGGGTGGGGAGGGGGGAGAGAGAGGAGTTAGAACATGATGATTGTCGGCTGCTGGCGTATATGAAATATTCTAATCCTGGAGAGAGAACAAATCTTACTCTAAGTGTTTAAATGATTGATAGGGTTTATATATACTTCTTCCCCTCCTTCCTAACCCCCCTCATTACATGCAAATTCCAGGGAGTTCCTGAGCTTAGGTGTGTGGCATCTCTCGGGCGTTGTCACCCTGGCCTGGTATTTATGGCCCTCAGTTCACGCAGATTTTACACCTATTTGAAACTTGTCTGCCTGTTCTGCAAAGGCTGGCTGTTCCTTCTCTCCTTTCCCGAGAATGCTAATGGAGCAGTGCTGTAAATGGCCACTTGCTGGCTCGCCTGGGGTGACTTGAGGATTGTCTCCAGGTGAACATACACAAAAGCATTGCAGATATTGGTTCCTCTTTTTTTTTTAGGCTGCAAATACAACAACAACAACAACACAATCAGATGTGGGCAGGCTGGCTAGCAAAAATTTTGGGGGACATGGGCCAGTCATTTAGATGGTTTCACAGGGCAAGAAGCCCCCCCCCCCCCACCCAATAAATTGTAAATCCTGGGATGCTTTTTTGTGTAGGATGGGGTAGAAATATTTTAAATAAATAAATTAATTTCTTCGACACTTTTCTTTTAAAAAAATGATCCAAAGCAACTTATAAGAGAATTAGAACACAACATAATGGGTATATCTTCTAAGGAACCCCAGAGGGTAAGGTTTGCCCACTGAGGTTCTGCACCCCTGCCATAAAACAATGAAAACATAAGTGACAACCATAGACAGTTCAAATGGTGGATTAATCAGCCCATTGTATTTTTTATTTATTTATTTATTTATTTTCCGATTTATATCCTGCCTTTTTCCTCAAAGGGCTCAAGGCAGCTTACATCATTCTCCTCCTCTGTCTTATCCCCACAACAACAACCCTGTGAGGTAGGTTGGGCTGAGAGTCTGTGACTGGCCCAAAGTCCCCCAGGTGGCTCCGTGACTGAGCGGGGACTCGAACCTGGATCGTCTGAGTCCCAGTCCCAGGCTCTTAACCACGACGCCACACGGGCTCTCCATGGCACTGTATGCCATAGCTATCCTGGCTCTGATGAGATGACAACATTGACACCAGTAAGCCTTGCTGGAAAGAGCATTTCACATTAAGGGGCCACCACCAAAAAGAACTTCAGTCTAAAATTTGCTCATGTTTTTGGTCTGTTGCTTTTTCCTTTGGCCCAGGGAAGAGTCAGAAACTAAGTGTGCAAACTTTTCCTTGCATGACTCCATTAAAACTTTAGTGTAGTTCTTAAAAAACAAAACAAAACAAAAAAGTTAGTGTAGTTGAATCCTCAGGATTGCTTTCTCTGGCTTTCTCTAAGCACAGAAACAGGTTTTGCCACCCAAATTCTTCCCTCTGTTGCTCTGATGTGCAGAATTCTGTAAGGACCTCTGCTATAATTCTGCCAAAGCTGCTAGTCCATAGGCTTGGATGCTCCCTTTCTTTATTGCATGAGAGGTGACGGTAAGAGAGGCCTTGCTGAGTTCTCTCTCCACAGCCTCCAATTAGTTCCTCCCCTTCTCCTCAGTGCCTTTATTTTTTGCCACAAGACAGAAATTGTTTCACACATACCTAAAACAAGTGAAATGGCATTTCAGCTCCTTGTCTTTATAGACTCTCTGAACTTTCCGAAAGATCATCCCGGTCCCTTTTCATTAATAATGAAAACCAGGGGGCAATAAAATGTTCTTAGCGCAAGCATTACAGGAACGGAGGGAGAGATGAAAGAGGTGAAAGGCCGTGGATGATGGAATTGGGCGGGTGGGTGGGGGAGCGACCCACAGGTGTCTTTCCAATATGCCTGGAGGTCGAAGCTTGCTGGGAGAGAGGCGCTACGAGGAAGCTCTGCAGAAGAAGCTAATGCCTTACTAGTGGGAATCTCACTGTGGGGCGGAAACCAGAGCACAGCCTTCTTTGACCTGGCGTCCTCAGAGGCATTGGACCACAACTCCCAGCATCCCCTTCAGCCAGCCATGCTGTGGGACAACATGCCCTGGCTGTTGGAATTGGAAGACCTGGAGCATTGAATTAGGGCTAAGCTAGGCTCTCATATGGATTTTCACTGTGGAGGACCAGTTTGGAGTAAACCAGATTCAGCAATTTTCCAGCAATCAGTAAGGCCTTTTTGGGGTCCCCACACAGGCTGGGGCACCGGCTTAGGTGTGTTTAGGCAGGGGAAAGACCTGCAGCTCCCAGCAGTCCCCAGCCAAGCTGAGATCTTGCCATTTGCATTACAGAAATGGTGGATGCTGAGCCTAGATTCAGAAGTGCCACGGAAGTGGCCGAGCAAGTCTCTCTAGCGTGTCCGCAAGCAGCGGCGACCCACGGTGTGGCCACGTGTCAGGTTGTCCAGCCTCAGGTGACGGGAGGGGAAGACCGCCCATGAAGGGCTGGTGGGTCGCTGTAGGGTTCCTTGTGGTTTCTTTCTCAGTCCAGCAAGCCACGACACCTGGGTTCAGGGGGCAGGAGAAGCGGCACACCCGGATGCGTCGTCAGGCAAATGTCTCCCAGCCCACGCTGGGCATTAAACAAGCCGCGATGCCATAGTGAGGTCCGGTGGCCTGCTGGTTTGTGCAATCTGGCCCAGGGATTCTCTGCATCCTCACTCGTTCTGCTTTCGTCCTTCAGGTCCCCCAGGCTCCAGATGGAGGGATTATGGCGCCCTAGCGATTATTCTGGCGGGCATCGCTTTCGGCTTCCACCAGCTTTACAAGGTGAGGAGCTTCCTCTTGACTGCCATGGACCTTCTTTGCCACAGAGGCTGGGGGGGCTCTCTGATTTGTGTCATGTGGGTCCGCCGGTGTCCCAGTTACAGCTCAAGCATTTTGGGGGTCACTGGAGAAGAACCCCTCCTTCAGTGACCCCCCCACCAGTCTTACTGCCATCGCTGCCAGCTGCTTTAGCTCCTCATCTTTCTCTCCCCACTTGCTGGCTTGGCGGGAGGCAGCTTCTCTGTCTTGACCCCAGAACGAGAGGCAGACAAACACATAGCTTGCGGCAGGGAAAAGGAGGAGTCGGTCCAGGGGGCTCTGGCCAGGGCCCCTCATGGGCTGGGGGGCCTTGTCAGGGGCCCGACTCTGCCTACCTCACTGCCCCTCTGCCTTTCAAGAAAGCCAGGAGTGGCCACGATGAGGTCAGGCACAAGAGTGGCTGGTGGCTTTACAGAGGTACTTGCCGAGGATGCAGTCCCACCAAGAAGGTTTTACTGCAGGGCCTTCCAAAACAGAGTTCGCTCTGCTGGGGCAGATGGGAGTTGAAGTCCTGACTTGAGGGCAGGAGACCCGGGGGGCTGGTGGTAGGCAGCCAGGTACAGAGGTGCCCTCTTTTCCCCTGCACGACTTTCAAAGTGGTGAACAACAGCAGAACTGGGAACAAATGGTAAAAAGCAATCAGTTAAAATAATTGCGTGAATTAAATCAAATGCACCCCTAATAAAAAAAAGTGGTCGTAAAAATAACATTAAAAGCTCAGTACTAACATCTGAGTTTGAAAATAGCAACTTTACCAGACAGTCAAAGCCTGAATTAAAGCAAAACAGAATGCCCCCCCCCACCCCCAGTTAAACTAGTTGCTGGGCAAAAATCCCAAGGGAGCCTTCCAAAAGGTCGGCAGGGCTGCTACCACTGAGAAGGACCCTCTCCATCACCCCCTGATACGGTTCTCACAGCTCATGCCTTTGGAAATTCTCAATGGTTTTTGCAGCCACGGAAAGCCACTGTGGACAGATAAAACGGAAAGCCCCTTTTCTCCATATCTCTCCTCCTGTTGCAAGCGAGTGAATGCTTGCCTGTTTTTGGGTTCAGGACGATGCGTGTGAGTTTCTAGGGCGTAGCTCGTTCTCAGATTTCCATCTCTTAGACCAGGCTGTGCCTAAAGGGTCTGCACTGCAAATAGGATTTTTTGCACGGACCCCCCCGCCACCTCCAGTTTCCTTCCCACTACCAGCACCTCTTGCCCCCATCCTTCCCGTCACTGTTGCCACTTGCTTGCTGGACAGGCAGGAAGATGGGGACCGAGCCACCCCGGGGCATCTCCTGCGCCTCTGCTTCGCTGCCACAGTCTGGGGCAGGGCTAGAGGGGCTGAAGAGGCAGGTTGAGCGGGGGCTTTTGTCCTGGGACTGGTGCGGGAGAGTGAGGCCGGCTGAAACTCTGGACACGATCCTTCCTCTGTGGAGGACCGTGTGCCCTGGAACCACCCTCAGTCTGAACGGTTGTCCAGTCCAAAATAAAGTCCCATTAGATGGAATAGAAAAGCGGCCGTCCGCGGCTCTCACCAGGGCTCCGGACGGAGCATCCCTCTGGTCAGCCCCGCCCCCCCCCGCCCCACTGCAGCAAGATGCATTTTATTTCTAGTTCAAGGACAGGAATGATCTCTCTGTCTGTGTGCACGTGTTAATTAGCACATGCAAATCATATGCCGGCTCAGAGCCGCTGCCTCCCTCCTTTCTGGCGACGGCTTGAGTGGTCGCCCGAACTCCTGTTGGGAGGGGCACCCACCCCGCAACCCCTGTTTGTAAGCCCCACGTGCGAGTGAAGCCCATGGCATGTGGGGCGGCACCTTTAGCGTCAAGCAGTGGGGTGGGATGTGGCAGGCGGGGTGGGGACAGCAACCCTGAGCACAAGTGCACAGGCGCTGCTTAGCGTGAGCACTCGGGTGTCCCTGTTTTTGCTCATGAAAGGTTTAAAAGGTATGCAAATACATCCGCGAGGCTGATGTCAGATACCTGCTGTAGGTCCGGTGAACATATTCTCTACACTCGGGCACTTTGATTTGGCTTGGGGGTTTTTTCATAGTAAACACTCTTAGAAAGAAGTAGCTTTAAACTTTGCAAAAATCTACTTCTCTCCCCGCTCTCCAAACACACACACTTTAAACCAAAGATTTGGGGCAGCAGTCGTTCTGAGCTCTGGGTGCATTTGGGAAACCTGTCCTGGATGAGGGAACCTCCCCAAAAGACTCATCCCACGGCAGGAGAGGGATCTGAGCCCCAGCATGCTAACAATCCCTTTGAACCCACTGGTCTCCTGCACCAACAGAAACCCATTTCACAGGAGTTTCAGCTGAAGAAGTTTTCCTTCCCGCAAAAGTGGGAGTGGAAAGATGGCTTGGCATCTGCCACAGAGGATTTTCAGAGGTGCTCTGCTCTGGGATTGGTAAAACATAATTTTGCTCCAGTGGTGGGTTTAGTATTCCTGGAGTACCGCAGAACTGAAAGTCCGTTTGGGGCAGGAACCTTAGTGAAGAGCGTCTCCCTTCCACATGTTAAAATCCACTTATGGGTCCCAGCTTATTTGCCATCATTCCTGGTCTGGAAGTAAAGGGAATGCTCCGGGGGTTTTCGGTTGAGCAGGAGAGGGCCTTGCGCTTCAGTCCTGCTTTTGTGCTTCCTGTGGGGCACCCGGTTGGCCACTGGGTGAACCGAGAGGGTGGGCTGGACAGACACTTGCGTGGATCCGGCACCAGGGCTGCTCATGTTCTGGAGGGCTTCTTCACTCAATGGTGGAGTTGATGTCTACGGGATGTAGCAACGGCCACCGGTTTAGACGGCTTCCAAAGGGGACTGAACAGATTCCTGGAGGAGGAGGCTGTCCTCCCAGTCCTCATGGCGATATCGTATCTCCCGCGTCAGAGGCAGGGTGCCTATAGACCCCAGTTGCTGGGGGAAATGGGCATGAGGGCCCTCTCGCACCCCTGCCTGCTTGTGGGATTGCCCTGGGCAGAGGTTAGCAGCGTGAGAACAGGATGCAGGAGGAGATGGCCTGGTCCAGCAGGGCTCGGTTTTGGCTGTTAGGAGCCCAGACTTCTCTGTTTGCCTCCACCCCGTGTCCTCTTTTGTGCAGAAATACCTGCTGCCTCTGATCATGGGAGGCAAGGAAGACAGGAAGCAACTGCAGCGGATCGAGTCCAACATCTCTGAAATGAGCGGCAGCCTGACGCAGACAGGTGAAGATTAATGATCCCATCAATCCATGCCCCTGGAAGCCCTTCGCGCCACGTCTCCCCCCACTCCTCTTCCTTCCCCCCCTTCCCTTCCTTCCTTCCCCAACCTTCTCTTCCATCTCCACTTTATGTGGTGACTTCATTTATCTGCTCTGAGAAATCTGTTCACATTTGCAAATGAAGCCGCCGTCATTTCGGTTTAATTTGAAATTGCTTGTTTACTGTCGGCGCGGCCTCAATTAATTATGTTTTTACGGAAAGGCTCCCAACCTCAGAATATTAATAAGGGGAATAAAATGACAAGCCTTTTCTAAGGGGCTGTAAAGTTCATTTTTAATTTTTGCTTCTCTGAGGGCTTTCTTTGGGGTTGGGGTTTTTGGGGGGGTGGGGTGGGGAGGGGGCATCTGCTTCCCCTCCCAGCCACCACATTTTCCTTTTGAGTATTCAAGGCAGGGTCAGGAGAGTCTGTAATTATGGAACCGTCCCCCGACCCCCTGAAACCTTCTCTGTTATTGACTCCATAGGGCATCTGTTCATTACCCAGCGCCTCAATGGATGACCTAGATTGGCTGTTACCTGTCATGCTAGTGGAATATATGTGTGTGTGTGTGCGTGTGTGTGTATGTATATATGTGTCCTTCGTTCTCAGTTATAATTTAAAACACACCAAAAGCCTCCAGCCGGAGATAAGAGCAGCTCCCCTTTCCAGAAGTCTTTCCAGGAAAAGGTTCCCGCCCCACAAGGACACAGCGCCATGCTCACAGACACTTGCGCGGACGGCTCTGCGCTCTTAGCCAGCCCACTGCTCTTGCTTCCCCGCGGTTTCCCCGAGAGGGGAGCGTGCATGCTGAGCACAGGGCCCACTTTTGGACGAGGGGTCGCTGCTTCCGAATCTTGCATGCCTTGCTTATATTTCCGTGCACTGCACGTGCCGGTCTCTGGCCCCATCTCTCAGTCGAGACAACGTGCCTTCCCCAAGCGGTGGTGTCTAAAGCCACTTCAGACTATGATTTTGGGGTGCTGGCTTAACGGTGGTTTGTGAATTGAGACGTTGCACCAAGCCGAGGATGTGGCTTGCGAACCGACTGGACTGTCTGCCCTCTGGGTCGGGTCTGCCGACTACTGGCATGATCAAGGGGGGCTGAAGCCCCTTCCAAAGCCCCGTCTAACAGAGAGCTCTCCTTTGGGGCTGCGCCCAGAGGGAGTGATCTGCAATCTCCAGGCCTTGTCGGTAGGGCACAAGATGCTTCCGCAAGTTTGCTACCAGCGGCAGCGCGCTGACCTTGGCGCTGGCTCTGACCCCGCTCCCGTCCCCACCAGCCGGCACAGAAAGAACCGGGCAGCCGCCTGTCCAGGGTCTGGAACTCAGCCTTGGGGAGTTGGTATAGGGAGCTTTCAGCAAGGGGCAACTGCTCCCTGAAGCAGCTCAGCCACTCGGCCGAAAAGCAGTCATCTGGCATAAGCACCGGGCGGGAGGTTTGTGGAATGACCGTGCCCTAAATAAACCAGTCTTAAGCAGCAGTTTTGCACGTGACTTCTTAGAAGGAAGCCCCACTGAGTTCCGTGGAACTTGCTCCCCGGTGCACGGGGCCTGGGTTGCGGCATAAAGCTCTCTGCTGGAATGTGTCCTGTATGTCGCTGGCTTTCTCAATGTTCTTTTAGCTGTTCCTTTTTTTTCTGTGTCATGGATTTCATATTTTAATGTCATCGTTGTAACTTTTTAATGTAGACCGCTTCTCAAGCAGAAAACAGGTGTTCGAGTCACAAATGAATGCTGAGCTGCAATCCCGTGGCCTTTGACACGGGAGGGAGCCCCACTAAATTCAGGGGAACCCGATGCCTGAGCAGACATAAATCAGCGTCCCCTGTAAACTGACTGTGGGTTAGCGAGGGGAAAACAACTCTAAGGGGTCTGGAAGCCATTTTTATCCCCCGGATATCCTTGTGCTGCACTTGGCTGGGCAACCTGAAAAAAGATTTTTGGGAAGCTGTTTTTTTAGAAGGGAACCAAAAATATTGAAAATATTGAAAGCCACACATGTGTCACACACCCTTGGTTTACTGAGCTGTAGAAGCAGGAACATTGCACGTCTAAACCGTTCCTTTAATGTACATGTTCACAAAGTACGAAGCTGGTGAGACCCCGGCCTTTTCTTGTAGATTCGGCTCTGAGAAATTTTCCCCCCAAGAAATTATCATTTTCTGCCATGCCGTCGCTGCAACATACCAGGAGCTCGGGGGACGCCGTCCGGGAGCTCCACTACAGTACAGTGCAGCCAGTTTCCCTCTCTCGATCCAGAGACTCATCTGTCTCCCAACCAGAAGGAGATCTCAAGCGCTGTAGGTTTTCCCAGCGCAGCGTGGAGATAGATAAATGATACCAAGGCTGTGCAAGTTCAGGGAGACCGTGCAAATCATAAGCCGGTATAATTAGAAGGGAGAGGTTTCGGACGGATATACTGTAGGCTGGAGACATCCATACAAAAGGAAGATAAAGTAGAAATAGTGGAGGTTAAAGACAGTGCAGGTAGATTGCCCATAGTGTGGATAACTTATAGGTGGTTAGAATAAGCAGGAGCCCATAGATAAATCAGGCACAGGGGGAATCTGGTAGTTTGACAGGGAAGAACACCTGTTTTTTCACGTGTGTGTGCATGTATGCTCTGATTTAACAAACTTTCTGCTCTCCCTGCCCTGTCTTTGTGCTCCACACAGTGACTCAGCTTCAGACAACTTTAGCCTCTGTCCAGGAGCTCCTCGTTCAACAGCAGCAGAAAATCCAGGAGCTCACCCAGGAACTAGCTACCTCGAAGGTATTCCTCCTTCCTTGTAAATGAATCCTCCAGCAGCCTGCATGCCAGTTTATACTATCCCTCTTGCCTCAGGATGGGGCAATAGCCCCTGGGTTGGAACAAAGATGCAATACATTCATAGAGGACATGAAGTCTTCCAGTGGCTACTAGCTATCTTGAAGACCAGAAGGGGTCTCCAAGATAGGCCAGGGTGCAAGTGTTCCCGGGAACTCCCAGCTGTATTTTTCCTGGAGCAAGGCTGGAAGGAGCAAGAAGCAGGAACTGGAGAGAACCAATTAATATATTTCTGCTGGCATGTTCTGCTTTTCCTTTTCCACTTTTTTATCTTGAATGCGCTTCTCAGAATGTCCCCGGAAACCATAGCCCTTGACTTCAGATTTGCCGCTTCCAGGGAAGGACTGCCCTCCCTCTAGGGACCCAGGAACTAAGAGGATGTGGCAGCCAGGTTCTGCTCAAATAACATAGCTCTCCCTACAAGAAGTAGCTGCTGTCAGAGATTTAGGATATGCAGGCCGCAGCAGACCTTTATTGGAGAAATAGCTGCTGGGGGGACTGTGATTGAGACAGTCCGGTTCCACATACACCGGGAAGCCGCAGTGAGTGGCTGCTATTGGAGTCAAGAAAGTAGAAGTAGATGCACGCCAGGCTGGACAGAGAGCAGCGGGCCTTCCCCAGCAGAAGTGGCTGTTGCCAGGGACCGAGGAGAGCATCAGGCGTGGCAGCCAGGTTCCATGCCATGGCGTCCGCCCATCCCATGCCGAGTGGCCCCAGTCACCATCAAGGAAGCAAGACGAAGCGGCAACCAGGCTCAGCGCAAAGTGACGTGTGTGCGGACAGGGGCTGGGCAGTGGGAGGGGGACAAATCCTTGCCTTCTCCCGTGACCCTTGCAAAAAGGTCCAGGGAGACTTTTGCCCCTAATTATTTCCATATCCCAGAGGCGCAGAAGGAAGTTGGTTGGGGAGCTAAATCGAAGACAGAGTGTGGCTTGTTATCGGCGTCATGTTTCAGACCAGGGTCGATGATCGTTTTTATTGTACCCTCTGTGTTTCTTGTGCCGAGCAAGTGCAGTGAAGGTCCTACCCCCCCCCCCCCCCCAGGATCTTGCACGAAAAATTTTGACCTGGGGGGGGGGCAAAAAAGGCGGGGGAGAAAGTTGCAGATGTGGGGTCAAGTGAGCTGAGCAGGGGGTATTCTTAAGCCACCAAGACTTCAGCTCTGTTTTCGACCTTCTAGAACACAAGCTTTCAAATACTGGTCCGCGGACTATCGGCAGGCTCTGAGCAACATTTGGGGGGCCTGTGGAAAGTGGCACAATGTGGTGACCACAGTGCTGGAGAGGGTCTTGGGAGACCCATGTTCTGGTCTGCGCACTGCCTGGAAGCCCCTTGGGTGTCTTTGGGCAAGTCACTGCCTCTCAGGCTAACCGATCTCACAAGGTTGTTGTGAGATAAAATGGAGAACAGGAGGACCAGATAAACTGCCTTGGACTCTTTGGAGGAGAGGCAAGATCTAAATACAATGAACGAATAAACAAGAATAATGTCTACTTGGTTTACTTTTTTCCTGACACTTGAGCTCAAGGCTGTTTTCCTAAGGGCCGAATTATGGAATAGGTGCCAAAGAACCCTGATTTTCATAATAGAACACTGGATTTGATGATGATGATGATGCAGGGAAAAGTTTTTAAAATACAAGTTATGTCTAGGCTTTGATTTGTAGAACAGCCACCCGCCAAAAATTATAGGTCCCCCCAGAAAGACAGACAGACACTCTGTCTCAGGCAGTAGAGGAGCCCAAAGATTAATGCTTGTCACCAAGCTTTGCTCTGACTTTTTTTTTGGGGGGGGGGAGGGGGAGCTGAAAATCTTGCCGGTGGCCTGGGGCTAGAGAGGAAATTGGGAAACTCCCCCATGTGAGTCTGAAGTGTTAATATTAAGAGCACATGTTGAGCTTTAAGAAGAGAAAGAGCTTGGTGCTTTGGGTTTTTTTGTGGAAGGAGGTGTCTCGAAAAGTCCCCCCTTTTAAACTTTTCCTCTTAAAATGGTAGCACTCACTCTTGTGTGATCAAAACCACATCTGTGTGTATACACAAAGGAAAGCCTTGGCTGAGCCCATAAACTGGGGAGTTAAAAAAAAAAGTAGAGTTTTCTCAGCTGCAGTGTAAGTTTTTATATCTGCTTTTCAAACTCCTACTGGCATGCTGTAAAAAATTAAAAAGAGCGGCTTTAAGTAATTAAAAGAAAAACTACATTAAATTTAAAAAGGGGTGTGTGTGAAGGCGAATCTCCGGGCTTGAATTTTCTACCACTTGTTTTGTGTCTGTGTGTTTAAAAGAGACTGGCTTAAAAAGCCCCAGATGTCAGGTTTTATTTCTTAAATCCTCCAGCATCTGGCACCATATGTGTTTTGGAAATCTGAATCCCTTTGCAGGCCGGTGAGTGGAAATCGCTCTCTTGTTAATGGGCTTCTGCAGCTTTCAAAGGCCTCGGAGAGAGCCAAAACGGTGGCTCCCAGATTCTCTCTGCCACAGAGGCTCAGGGAGTGGTGGCGTCCCAGGGGACCACATCTGGGCCTGTGTTCGTCAGGCAAGTGCTGCCGCTGCCGGGAGCACCAGCCAAGGAAGGTGCTTGCTGCCGAGCCCGTGGTGGCCAGGAGCCGCTTCCCAGCAAGACAGTCCGAGCTGAGTTTTAAAGAGCTTGTCCAAGAATGGCAATCGGCACAGGCAGGTTTTATGTATACAGGATACCCTGGGAAACTGGAGCTGGGTGCCGCGTAGTGGCTGAAGGCAGGGGGCATAGCTAGAGGGCCCAGAAAGTGTGGGGCCCTTTGCTTCCCAAACCCCATGGCAACCTGGATGCAGCAGCACAAATGGACATGGGAATTACTGCCTACCAGGGATTCGGCCATCTTCACTTCTTGCCTCAAATGTTGTCAGATCCTTGCTGCTCTCTTGCAACTCCTCTTGAGATTAACTCATAGATCTCAATTAGTACCTTCCCTGTAAGAAAATAAGAGCAGCCCTGCTGGATCAGGCCGGCCGGCCGTCCACCTAGCCCAGCATCCTGTCCACAGGCAGGACAGGGGTGCAACAGCACCCTCCAGCCCATGTTGCCCAGCAACTGGGCACAGAGGCCTTCTGCCCCTAATACTCTTACTTGCAATTAAGTGGGAGGCCTTGGAGCAGAGTGCCTTGGGATGCTGAAGTTCTCTTTGGTCCTAGTCTTCACTGCGCCGCCTCACCGGCTTCTTAAAAGCCCGACTGGTCGAACAGCAGCCATTTGCGTGATCGCCTATATTTTAAAGCCACCAGAGGAAGTGAGCATGATCTCGTCCAGCTGCAGCGAGTTCCAAAGAGAACTGATCCCCTCTGAAGCGGTGGGGATCGCCTGAGCTCACTTTGCCGCTTTGCGCACTGGAGTGGTGGCGGTTCAGCCAGTCCTGATCCAACCCTTACATCCCCTTAGCGCATTCTTGTTGTTGAGGAAATCATTTATCTGCTTGCCGTCTTTATCATTTGCTCGAAAGCTGGATTCAAAAGCAAGTGTCCAGAAACACTCGGGAGGTTTTAAGTTGCAAGCAGAACTCTTTGCACAGCGTTCTCCTAACTTTGTCTGTCTCTAACTGCTGCCTTTTCTTTGCACCCAAGGCCACAACATCCACGAATTGGATCCTCGAATCTCAGAATATCAACGAGTTGAAGTCGGAAATCTATTCACTAAAAGGACTGCTTTTAAACAGGTGGGAAGTAACCCAGAATTGAGGGTGGGCGAGTGGGTCGGGTAGGAGCTGGCAGGCCTTCCTCTAATGCAATCTAGAGACCCACTGAGAACTCCCTAACTCTGCAGACCTCTTTCTCTTCTCGCTTCCCATCCATTCTTTTCCTCGCTGATGTTTTGTTGCCTCTCGGGGACTTTACCCATTCAACTTTTTGCTCTTCCACCCCCGATCCAGCAGCTTCATACAGTGTGTGGCAACAGTTGTGTCCGTGCACAGAAACCTATCAAAGATAATTTCCTTCTATTTGTTTTTCAGCCCAGGTTGGCCCCCAAACTAGCTTACAGTTAAAAAGGCATAACAAATTGGGGATAAGTGTAGGTGCAGAAGGAAGGAAAGGCACAATCCTGTGCACATTTGGACAGAAGAAAGTCCCACAATTTCAACATTCTTTCCAGGGAATGTTAGGAGTTGTTGGGGTTTTTTCCTGCCTAAACATACTTAGGATAGTACTCTTAATTTATGGTCTATCTCAGCCTTCCCCAACCTGGTATCTTCCAGACATTTTGGCCGAGAATTCCCAGCATTCTTTATCATTGGCCATGTTGGCTAAGGCTGATGGGAGCTGAAGTCCAAATCACCCAGAGGGCAACAGTTTTGGAAGGCTGCTTCAAATAGCCTGTTTCATTCATTCAATGGGGTCAGAGGAAGGAGGAAAAAGTATCTGTGCATGGAGTGTTTATTTATTCATTTAACGCACTCTACTTCCTACCTTCCTATTGTCAAACGAACAGAAAACCAGAAATGAGTCACAGCAAATTAAAAAGGTTCTGCCATTAAAGATGGTGGAACTTTAGTAACTTTCACTAATGAGTTGCTGAAATAGAAATGGGATGACTCTCCCTGGATAGAAAGTTTCATAGCAGTAGCAAGTTCCTTTTTTTTTAAAGTAAATTTTATTATTATTTTCTACAAACTAAAAAAAAGAAACTAAAAAACATCAGTCATCAGAGACATCAGATCTGCTGGGTCAGCCCCTTATTATTTTTTTTATAGCAATCCATAGACATATTCAAATCTATGCAAAGTCCCGTTTCTCTAGCCAATAATAAAAAGAGTTCCAAGTTTGATAGAAGTATGTATCCTCTTTCTCCTTCAGAGACAAAGTCAGCCTGTCCATTTCAGCACAGTCCAAAATCTTTTTTAAAATCAGTTCATCAGTGGGTGCTTCTTCACTCCTCCAATGTTGGGCAAAGCAGTAGCAAGTTCCTAAAGAACTGGAGCAACCCTGAGGAAGCCCCAGTCTCGGTCTTCGCCAGGGACGGGACACAAATAACCCCAGTGGTTTTAGGGCCAATGTCTTACACTAATCCAGACCTCACCTGAAGTACTGCACCCAGTTCTGAGTGCCACACTTTTCAGAAGGATCTGGAGAAATGGCTCAGAAGAGGTCGTCCGTGTGGAAAGCAAGATTTATTGGGAATGGCTAAAGGATCAGCCTAAGTGGGTTTCGCATGGAGAAGAGATGCCTGGAGGGGTGGGGACCTAGGAAACAACATCCAGTGTTGCTTCCGTGCCCCTCCATTACTCCAGGAGCACCTTCTGCTAGTAGGAAGGAAAGTTGGAACCCCACAGTGAGCTTGTATGTTTTTTGTTTAGTTGCAAAGTCGTGCCTGACCCATCGCGACCCCATGGACAACATTCCTCTAGGCTCTCCTGTCCTCCACCATCCCCCGGAGTCCACTCAAGCCCACACCCACCGCCCCAGTGGCCCCATCCAGCCACCTCATCCTCTGCCATCCCCGTCTCCTTTTGCTGTCAATCGTTCCCAGCATCAGGCTCTTCTCCAGGGAGTCCTTCCTTCTCATTAGGTGGCCAAAGTATTTGAGTTTCATCTTCAATATCTGGCCTTCCCAAGAGCAGTCAGGGTTGATTTCCTTTAGGATTGACTGGTTTGATCTCTCTCAAGGGACTCTCAGGAGTCTTCTGAGCTAGTACATCCATTTCCAGTTCATAACAGGGCCTGAATAGCAGAAGAGTGGTTACACAGAAAGAAGCTTCTCCTTGTTGTCTGCTGCCTAGAGGGCGGAACCGAAACATAAGTTCAGATTTTGGTGGAACTTTTGGAGACATCCAAGGATACAAGCAGTTGGAGAATGGAACCAAGTCCCCACAGGCAGGGCTTCAGGCAGCCCAACCCACCTCACAGGGTAGTTGTGAGAATAAGATTGAGAGGAGGAGAATAATGTAAGCCACTCTGAGTTCATTGAAAGGAAAAAGGCGGGATAGAAATAAATAAAATAAGCGAAGTCTGGAAGGTGAGCCGTGGCGAATGCTGTCCGGAGCTCTGCTGCTCTGGCCAGCTTAGGGGTCTCTCATTCTCCCTTTGTAATTTCTTCTTGTGTGTGTTTGTTAAATTTTAACCAGTGGTTTCCTGCTGGATCAGATGGTCATGGTGCTGGTAACATGCCAAGCCCATCCACCCACCCAAAGCACTCTTTTAAAATCCACTGATGCCAGGTAAGCCTGTGGTGGATGGCGAAATCCGCGAGATACCAGAGTCCTTCACCTCGGGCTTGGTTGCGTGCTTTATGCATGTTGCAATTTCGAGAAGTGCGTGTCGTTCGAAAAAGAAATCTGACACGCACCAAGAAGTCACCTGGCACTTTCTGAAATTATTCGATGAAATTTAATAATGATGACACTGAGGAAGGAAAGATGGCAAAGAGGTGTTAGCTGTCGCCAGGAGCTGTTGTGCATATGAGAGCAGTGAGCAGACGGGGGGCAGACCAGGGGGTGTCCTTGACCTGCTCTTATTTGAGATTCTGGCTGTGTTTAGACAACACGGCAACCCACACTTGGGATGAGTCGAGGCTGAATGTGAGAGATTGTAAACTGTGTGTTACCACACTAACCCACAGCCAGTCACACGAACCCACCATGGCTGCACAACCATGAACCACCGTGGATTGTTGGGTTGTGAACTGTGGGTTACTCGTCATGGCCTGTTACCTCAGCTGGGTTCAGACAACCCATGGTTCAGCAATAACTCAGAGCTGAACAGCAACCCACATTCCACCCATGCTCAACCTCAAAGTGTGGGTTGTTGCACTGTCTGAACCCAGTCCGTGCCTCTGTGGGCAGAGTTGACGTTTACGCACGAGGAGAGAGAGTAAACGTCAGGTCGGCCACTTCCAGTTCGTGCTGCAGACACATAAAGCGGTTTGTTTGGCAACCCCCTTGCTCTCAGCAGAGAGTTCCTCCGAGAGCGGAGTGAGGACAGCCACTCTGCCTCCGTGTCCGCAAGAGGACATCTTGTCATTAAGAGGAAATTCATTCGGGGGTGGCGGGGAGTCTTTCTGCATTAACGCAGCTGTGAAGATAAGTGCGTTTGGAAAATATATTTCTTAAAATAAACAAACCGAGCCAGCCAATGCAAGCCCTCCCTTGCAGTAAAGAGGCCACGACTCTGAAGCCAAGAAAAACCTCCAAATTGAATTCCTCGATAGCATTGACAGCACTGGTGAATAACACGGTCATTTGCTCATTTGCATGCAGAGACGAAGGATGCTTCAGAGGCCGGGTGTCTTCCAAGGCCAAGGCTCTGCAGGTTGTGGGGGGGGCGGCAGGGCAAAGTCCTGCTTAGGGAATTCTTTCCCGGCACTTGGCGCGAAGAGCCAGCTTACAGCCTGCAAGAGTGACTTTCAAGTTGGGTACTGGAAGCTTGATGTATGACAAAAAGATCCTCAGAACCCTAGAGCTTGAACGGGGGTGCTCCTGAGATCCATCTGGTCCAACTCCTCCCTCAATGGAGAACATCCAGAGTTGGGTAGCTAGCTTCAGAATGGCTGCTTCTCTACTCATTCTTGTTGCATCGTGTTTATATCCCGCCTCCTCTCCTCTTGCGAGGAGCCCAAGGCTGTGTGCAGAGCTGCTCTTTTCTCCTCACAGCAACCCTGTGAAGTAGGCTAGGCTGCAAGTGGGTGACTGGCCCAAAGCCACCCGGTGCATTTCATGGATGAACCTTGATCTCGGCCCCGGTCCAACAGCCCCACTGACTTTGCTTTCAAGAAGCCGTGTATTATTCAAGCAGCCTTACATTGTATTTTTACTCATTTTTATTTTGTATTTTATTGCTGCAGCCTGCCCGGGGAGCCATATGGCTAATGGAGCTGGTTAGAAACCTAATAATAAATAAATATTAAGTATTTCCCACAGTTCAGCTGAAACCTCCCCGCCTAACCGTTTCTGCCCACGTCCTACTCTCTGGGCATCAAAGGACACATTTTTGCCCCCTTTTTCTTTACAGTCCTTCTGCTAGATGAAGACTCTGTATGCAGCCAGTTCCTCCAGCCTTTCCATCCTTCTGTTTTGCAGTCGGGGTTGTCCCTATCTTTCTTAAATTGTGAGTGCCGTAGCAGACACAACTCCAGATGATGTCAGTGTAGCGCAGAACAGGAGGGGAAGAGCTTAGGAAGCAGCCAGCCCAGGGCTGAGTCAGCCCTGTGTTGTTTACACGGACTGGCAGCAGTGGTTCAGCTGGGTTTCTTTCCCAGCCCTACCTGGAGCTGCTGTTGAGAGCTGGAGTCTGACAGGTGCTCCCGGCTAATGGTAGTGAATTAGCCCCGAGCCAAGAACATCCCCTTGGCCCCGGGCCACTGTGAACTGGCCTCACAGTTCGAGTCAAAAACACAACAGCTGGTCTTGAAATCTGTTCCTGCCTGCTCTGGATGGCAAAGGCTAGAAATCTGGCACGGCCTTGTTTGAAAAAGTCGTTCAAGCACCCCAGTCTTGTGGGGACATGTAGTATCGAGGCTCCTGGCACAGCGATGTTTGAAAAAAGCCTTGTTTGAAAAAAGGAGAAGAGGAGAAATAGGAGGAAGGATACCAGAAATGGCAGGGGGCAAGCATTTTTGAAATATTTCCCAAGAAACTCTGGGAAGGAAAGAAAAAAAATGCTTTCCTCCACCTTTTATCTGGGTCCTCCCTCATTTTTTCAGGATTTTCTTTCTTTAAATCTTCAAGTCTCTGCCTGAGAATAAGGCTTGATCTTTCGACCTGCCCCTTGGTCTGCCATTTTGCCACAAGTGCTCCTGCCCTCTGTGTGTCCACCGATGACCTTTGGTAATGGCTGCTTCAGGCCTTAGGACAGGATAGCCTGTATGGACCTGCAAGATCTGCTGGCAACCTCTCCAAAGAATGGCAGTCATCCCCGTATTCGTTTTATTTATTCATTTATTTAAAACTTTTATGTGCTGTCCCTTACGCATAGCAACTCAGGACGGCTTACAGTCATTAAAATCAAATACACTGAAACATTTGCAGCATTTTTACTCCCCTTCTCAGCCTGAAATGTTTGCAGAGAGCCTTTCAGGTAATGAGGAGGACCAGACAGTCCTTTCTCGCTGGTTTCTAATCTGAGAAGGCACGGCACACAAGGAAAGTGAAATGGGGAGGGAAGAGGGAAGAAAAAGCCTCTCATAGAAAACCCATTGTCTTTGCTCTTGTCTGTCTCATCTCACAGGAGGCAGTTTCCTCCCTCCCCATCAGCCCCCAAAATCCCGTCATGGCAGATCCCGGTCAAGCCTTCCTCGCCCTCCAATGCTGTCACCAACAACCACAACACCAGCAGTGACATCTCGCCAGTCAGCAACGAGTCCAACTCCTCATCGCCTGTCAAGGAGAGCCACAGTCCCGAAGGGTCGAAGGTCAGCTGCCACCTCTTGGGCCCTGCGGAGGAGGGAGAGGGGGTGATCGACCTCAAGGGCCAGGTAAGGATGGAAGTACAAGGGGAGGAGGAGAAGCGGGAGGACAAAGGGAAGGAGGAAGACGAGGAGGATGATGAAGACGACGTCAGCCACGTGGATGAGGAAGAGTGCTTGGATGTCCAGACGGAGGACCGGCGAGGAGGTGACGGGCAGATCAACGAGCAGGTGGAAAAGCTACGGAGGCCCGAGGGGGCCAGCAACGAGAACGAAATTGACTAGCGCAACGGAGGCAAAGGGCCCTGCCGCTCCCCACACCCCCCAATCATTCTCCGTTCCCTGGGCCGCCCTCCGCCCTGGGAGCTCCCTCCGTCTCACCCTTGCCATTCACCACGAGTAGCACGACCCGCCTTTGGGCCAGCCTCGGCGTCCAGCAGCTGTCTTCATATTGGCCTCCCCTCCTCCGGCCACAGCGGTGCCTCTCCCACTTCCCGCCCCATCTCAGCATGGGACCACGGCTAAAGAACCAGGCCTCCATGCCCCCCACCCCATCAAGCTAAGGAATGAAGAGCTTCTGTCCTCGGAATAACCCTTCCAAAGCACCAGTGTGCCACCCTGCTTTGCCAGGTGGCTAGCCCCCGTACCCTATAACCCCAGCCAAAGCATCCCCGCTTCCAAAAAGAAAACCCTTTAAGAAATGCAAACTTTCTGTGCAGGTTTCCACCCCATCTTTCGTTTCCAGATGAAGGGTTCTCTTTCTGGGGACCTCTGCTTCTCCTTCAACCATCCGTAGTGTCTCGGGAACAAAAGTGAAGCAGTTCACTTTTCTAAAAGTTGTTTGACATCCCCTCTTGCTGGGAGCAGGAAACGTTCTGGGATTGCTGGCCAAGCTCTCCCTGGAGGGGGTTCTCTGCCTCCATAGCCCGCAGCAACACTCTTTCTAAATCTCACGCTCTTCTGCGCCTTCCCTTCTTTCTGCCTCGCAGCCCCTCCCAGCTGCTCAGGACGTCTGTTTTGAGCAAGAGGTGAGGACCAAGAGCAGAAGCTCAGCAATTCAAGAGAGATGGTCTGAATCTCAGAGGGGCTTCCAAGTTCCTAATCCCCAGCAGCCAAGTCTGCAGATGCTTTTTCCTGCAAAGGAAACTAAATCCCATTTATGCTCTCTGTTGTTCCAAGTTCCATTTTAGGGCCATAACATTGGAAGTTGCTGGATCTACCACATTTAAAGGAGATATTTATACCTCAATCTTTCCATCCACGGTTCTCCTCAAAGCAAACCTTAGCTGTGGGGGCCTGGTTCAGACACAACACCTGTCTCTCCTTTCCTTCTTCCAGCCACTTCCTCCCCTTTCACTTTTGCCTTATCAAGTGGGGGAAACAAAAACAAGCCACCGGGCTTCTAGAAGCCTCTTGTTTTGCAGCATTGTATTCTCGGCTGTTCCAGCAGTGCCCAGTTTCTGTTCACTTCATTAAAAAAAAAAAAAAAGATTTTCAAATCCTGTAACATCTTGAGTCTCTCACTGCTCCCCATCCTCACCAAGAGGAAAAGCAAAACGTGCTCGTCTTTGTGATCATGTATAGAATTCAGCTATAAAATATGATTGTATATAATTGTAATAAATATGAGTTACCACTGCTTAACGCCAGGCGGTGGCTGTAGAATCGTGCTTCGTTTCTTCTTTCTCTTTGCCAACTGCCTGCCTGTCTTCAGCTGGAACAAGGGGTTAGTAATGGAGAGAATCACTTAGAGGGATTCCAGAACTGACGCTGTTTTTTACAAAAAGGATAGTTTATTGCAGATAAATCTTTTCAAAAGTAAAATGATTTTGTGTTCAGACCACAATGATTCCATAATCATTTATGGAGCAGCTTAGTGCAGGCCAGATTACACACACATTTGGTATCTCTTCTCAAAAGGTACTTTCAGCTGTGTTTGCGATCCAAACTGTTGTTCCTGTTGAAAGAATAACCCGGTGGTTACTGGAGAGCATTGTGATAGCCATAGGATTGTTTGGAATTCTGGCTCTGAAAACGCCGCTCTGATTCCCACCCCATTGCAGCTGGTGTGGAAAGAATCCCCGGAGTTGTAAAAGTGATCTCGGAGATGGATTCTTGAGGAGCGGAGGAGAGCAGTGCCACCAAGTGTGACCTGTCCTATCGGTCTCTCTCCTGCCCACTCGGAAGCACTTCCCCGAGACATCCAACTGCTTTGCAGAAGAGGAAAGCACAGCGGTCTCGTTCAACTCTGTTCTTCCCACCTTGTGTATGACATCCATAATCCTCTGAGTTCACTGGGGTAACAGGCATTCCCATAAGATTGTACCCTAATTGAGTTAACTGCACAGTGAGATACTGGGAGATCATTTTAAAGAGAAATCAGTGCAATCCCCCCCTCCACAGATTAACTCTTTAGGATAGGGGTGGGCAATCTGCCAGCCTCTGGGGGGGGGCACCCGTTCTCCAAACTGCTCTGCCCTGAGTCTGCCGGGGGGGTAGGGAGGAGGCAAGGAGAGAAAATCCCATCTTTATCTCTGATAAATAAAAATATAAGGAATTTGCCATAATAAAAATATAATGAAATGTTCTCATGGGAACTTAATGGGAACATTTCATTAAATTCTTACCATCACACACAGTGCAGAATGAATTCACAGGGCTCCCCATCACAAGATGCCTGGTGGTGGCCCAACAAATTAAAAAGAAATGGGCAGTTTTGTGGTGGCTGAGTGTGTGTGCATGCCGAAATTCTCGGGGAGAATGGATAAAACACAAATGGATCATTTGGTGAGAACTTCGATTTTTATTTTATTTTTTAAAGCAACACAGCCAAGTTTCTAGCCGTTATGGTAGTAAAAACATTCTTGGGAGTATTGTCTTCTGGGATCTCAGAAACCAGAAGATGGCTGGTAAGATTTGAAGCGAGGTCCCTGTGACTGGCATTGCTGCTTCTCCCAGCTTAAGAAACCCAATTATAAAAATACTTTTTAACTCAGTATAATTCATATTTACTTGATTTTGAATATATTTAGGAGCATAGAAATCTCTGTCTTATAAGAGGTCAGACTATGTTGCCATTTATCCTAGTATTTTCTGTTCCTACTGGTAGTGTCCAGGGATTCGGGCAGAGAAACACACCTTTCGTAAATCCATATGATCTTCCAGACTTGGGATGATAAAATTGAACTGCTGCAGGTAAGGGAATTGCTCCACCACAGAGGCACAGGGCTGGCATCACAGGTAGGCATGGTCGGGCACATGCCAAGGCCCACACCCCAGCGGGGCCACTGACAAGAGCCCCTGGACTTGCTTCTCCTTGTCTTCTGATCAGTCACCTGCATCTTGCTCTGGGCCAGACAATTATGGCAGTGAAGAGGAGGAGCAAGAGCAGCAGATGACAGAGGTGGTGACAGGTTGACTCATGGAGGCCGTGATGCCTGTTGGCCCCCAACGGCACAGCTACGTTCTCTCCAAAATCCTCAGTACAAATGTGCAATAAATGTTGGTTGAAAGCATACCCAGTGCTGCATCTTTCCAGAAGTGGCAACACCAGGAACAATTTGTAATCTCTCCCAGCCTCATCAAGCTATTTTAGATCTGGCATGAAATACCTCAAAGGTTCAGAGTGGAGAAGTGTGTCCGCTTCTGTCCTCACTCAGCAAAATTATTTGGCTGCCCCGTTTTATTTGTTTGTTTGTTTGTTTAAGTGAGCCATTCTTGACTGTTTTGCACACACACACACCACCCCTTGTGCGTCTGGTACACGGTGACATTTTCATGCTTATGGGGCGAGAGAAGGGACCTTTTCCATTACTGTATTTAGACCTGTTATTGAATGTAGTGATTTCTCATTCCTTAAATGGACGAATATCTTCCCCAGGAGTCACACACTCTCTCTCCCTCTCCCTCTCTCCTTTAATGTTCATGAAGAACACTACATTTAGCTAAAACAGGGCAAATTTTGAAGCGTGTTTGAAAGTGTGAGCTTTCCGTAGATGACTTTTCGCCCCTCCCTTTGTCTCCTGCAAGCCAAGAATCCTTGTCAGAAGCAAACAACGGGACCAAGCAAGAGGGAGACTATAGCGATGAAAATACATTGTCCTGTCAGTGTCCGTTTTATATACATAGAAGGATTTGAAAATGGAAAGCGGTCTGGACAACAGCAGTCACTTGGAGAATGTGGAAAATCACATCCAGGAAGTATGTGCCATGGAATGAGTGACTTAAGAGGTTTACAGTGTATACTGTGGGTAATTCTGCACTTTCTGTTTCCATTGGATCCTTGGTTGGCTTACCAAAGACTTAAAAGGGGGGAGGTTGGGGGGGGGGGGGCTACCTTCAGAACCCCTTGGTTGAAAGCCTTAACTCACCTTTGCTAATTACTAATGTTCCCATTGAAACAGTTAAAGAAAAGCAAAGATGGGATGCGTATTATTCCTTGGAGAGCCTATTCAGGTTTTAAATTGATCAGCACAGATCTATGTTCAAACCATCCAAATTTGCAGTTTATATAAATTGCTTACATTCATTTTCCTTCTCATCATTGCATGGAAGGGAAATATTAGCCACTCTCGTCTTCCCATCCCAGGAAGCGGGGGCGGGGGATATCTGCCTTTATGTGATGTGCCCCGCACCTGAACTGTCCATTCATAAGTAAATAGAGACATGTACAAAATACAGATGGTAAATAAGCAGCAGTGAATGTTCAGCCCATTAGATCAATTAATTAGAAATTGGGATCAACTAAAACGGTGCCTGTGATTAATTGGGCAGCAGATTTTAAAGTATAAATTACAAGGACTGATATTAAGAGATTAAGTTGCAGCATCATCTTACAAAAGTGCTTCTCTCATGTGCAGGGGCAAAAAGCCTCTTCAAAGACGGCACCTTTGAGACAAGAAATTGCAAGGCTTTGCTGCTCCCCCTCCCTCACAAAGGAGAACAATTGTGCAAAGTTAAGCAGGTTTAATTGATCAAAGCGAAGATTTCTTTAACCAGGGACCCTTTTGCTTGGCTGTAAATCTAAATTTCCTTTCAAAGGTAAGTGTGGAAAAGTTACACGCAGTCACGGCAAGCATCAAAGGCAGGTATGGTTGGCCACATGGAAAGGACCCACAACCCAGCGGGGACCCCAATGAGCCCCCAGGCTTGCTCTTCCACTTCCCCATGGCAACCAGCTGCTTCTCCTGTTTCTCACTCTGGCCGAGATGGTGGCAGGGAGCTGGCTAGCTTGCACCCTGTCCCTCCACCTGTCCAACATGCAAATAGGGTAGTGACGAGGATGAGGAGCAGAGAAGCTAGAAGCAAGTAGGCAAAATCTCTGGGGAAGGGGGGCCCATTGAAAGCGTTCAGTCTCGGGACTCTCAAAACCCAGACCCAGCTTTAATCCAAGTAACTGCACAGAATAAGTCCACAAAACTGTTATAGCTCCGAGCTTCGTTTTCTACTGCCAAACATATTCTTTTCCAGATATTATCACAGTAAGGACTATTGAAAAAATGTTGCGGGGAGGGGAGAAATCCCTAATCTATGAACCCTCCGAGTTTAATATTGCCTTATCAGCATTTGTGGCTTCTTGATGAGCCGCAGTGAGCAATGAATTCTGGGGAAATTAGGCTCCCTTCTCAGTAGATCTTTTATCATAAAGGGTGATAAAAATGCAGCACTTCTGGTCTTTGCTCAGTTCAGGAATTTTGCACTCAGCCACTCAAAATGACTATCTATATTAGCTCTGACAAGCTGCAGGGGTCTGACCTGTGATTCATAACCCCTTCCTGCTTACTGACTTCTTAAATCAGTTTTGCACAGATCTGATTACTAGCAGGGTGGCCAGTTTCAGATAGAAGCAAGCGCCTTGACCCTGCTGTTAGATTTGATGGGGAGACATGATTGCTGGTGGCTAAGATCATTTTTAGTGGACAGACTTTAGCAGATACACTTTTTTGAAAAGAAGAAGAACTCAGGCTTTAGCAGGGTTTTTTGCGGGGGAGGTGTTGAGCTTTGAGACAGGAGAGTGTTACGTAAGCACTTCCTCTGTTTTCTAATCCTGCAACTGGCATTTCAGAGTCCAGGACTGCCAGTTGCTCTAGCTTTCATCTGAATTCATGTGACATATTCACTCACTAATGGCAGTTAAGCCTAGTTCTTGCTAAGCTGTACCTGGGAGTACTGCTTCAGGGAAAGGAGTTCAGATGTTGAAATCCTTTGCCATACCGAAACAAAACAAAACAGCCAACGGTGTACCTAGAGAACCCTAAACTCTCCTTTAATTTCCTTAAATGGAATGAAACATTTAACGGCGAGGGAATTAACTCTGGTTAAGGGTCAAGGACATTTAAATTTATCTCTCTGATTCAGGGATAATTTTCCCTATATAATTATTGTTATCATGAGTGACTCAAGATAATATAAGGGAATAGGATAGACATGCATTTTTAATATTAGGTCAGACTGTTCCTCTAGACTCTCAGGGAGGCATGGCTGGGCTTTGCCAAGGACTTGCCCCACAACGAGCCCCTGGACACCCCCTTCCCCTTCTCATAAGAACAGGCTTGCCAGATCAGGCCCAAGCTCCGTCTAGTCCTGCTCTTTGTACCCACAGTGGCAAACCAGCTGCCCACAGGATCCCTCAAGCAGGACGGGCGCTAGACTCCCATCTGCCTAAG